GTTTCCACACAGCAAAAAAAAAAAGCCCTTAACACTTCCAATAATTAGTCAACCAATCTTGAATGTAAAACAATACAAATCTAGTATTGACTTAGATGTTCATTCCACTGCGGTCAGGTGTTTGGGCTTAGCTTCAGGGTAACTGTCACAGTTTTATCGTTTGAGAGCCAGGGTCTCTGTACTCTCCCACAGTAGAGCATATGACATTTTCATGTTGTTTAGTGTACTCAGCCAATAATATGTCATGTAAGGCTGCATGTGCATTTTACAATACGCATTTAGCACTAAATTGTAGCATTGACTGACAGCAAGGAGTGTTTGACTTATTTTATTACACGACACCACAGGTTCACAGAAACTCGCGCAACATTATATAACAAGTAATATAAAAAATCATAAGACAACCAGGCCTGCATTTTCAGATAACTTAAGCATTAATGTAACAGCAAATCAAATTAGAACATTTTTTCCATTTATTTAGAAAGCTTTTCAGTGCCTACTGGAATAATGCAGGACTAAAGTAGAATTATCAGTCAGATAATGTTTAAACAAGAAATACTTTAGAGCATCGTGATGATGATAATAAACCACTTATTCAATGTTCTCAATCTTTACTGCACAATTTTGTATTTTCTTCGTTCTTTGCCATTAATTCAAATTGTTAGCTGTTCTGTGCACACTTATGATATCAATCCATGCACAGTGTTTTTATGAGGCTGTGCATGTGTGTGTGTGTGATAAACTCTGTTTAACCCATCCGGTAAGAGTCCGTGGGGCAGCCAGGCAGACGGAAGCTGTCAGGCACAGGACTGTCTAATTTACCGATGATCTTGTAGATGGCCTTCTTCCAGCACGGATCAGCATCCCGACCACTCTGTATGGCAGAGAAAAACTCCCTCAGGGCCACCTCAGATACCTCCACAAACCTCTCTGGAACCTAGAAAACGCACATGATGTTTATACACATAATTGAGAGGTTACACGCACCACTCGAGCCTTTACACACGTGCACATGCACGCACTGACCTGATAATCATTGCTCTTATTGTAGTGCATGTTGAGAATGCGGTAGAGCTCAGTGTCTCTGCCCAGGTGGAGTGCTCTTTCCCTGGCAGAT